AATTAAATATAATAATTCTAAATTTAAAGAATATATAAGAATTATATTATTCTAGTTATAATATTTTTAAAATAATATTAAATTATTTTAATAAGATAATTAAGTATTAAAGTTCTTCTATATAATCTTTTAAAATAAGTTTTATTAAGATTATATATATAATATTAAAAATAAAAATAGATTTATTATTAATTAATTATAATTTATAAAATTATATTAATATTATTTTAAATAGCTTCTTTATTTTAATAAAAGATATATTTATAAAGCTTAATATTAAAGCTTTAATATTTAAAAGATAATTAATCTTAATCTATTTTATTAATATAATAATTTTTCTATAAAAGTTTAATTAATATTTATTTTATAAAGAGATTTTAATAATAATAATATACGCGGATAGAGAGATAAAAGCGAGTATTCTTTCTATTTCTAACTCTTTAATTTTTATATATAAGACTTTTAAATCTCTAACGGCGATTTAGCTAAGAACGTTTAATTTTTTAATTCTTATAATAATTTAATAAAGATATTCTTCTTAATATTAACGGCTTTTAGAATTATATTAACTTATTCTTTTATTAATAAATCTATATTTTTATATAGAGTATTATTATTACTAAAATAATATTTAATCTTTAAATATTTAAAATATCTATCTTCTTTTTAAATTCTATTTATTAATAATTTAAGATATTTATATTTTTATATATAGAAATTTTTAATAATAATATTATTATTTCTTTTAGTAAATAAAGTATTACGCTAATTATTTGAGAGAGTAAAATTTTTATAATTATTATTAGTTTTATTAATTTCTTTCTTACTTTTTAAATCTAACGTATTATTAATAGCTTAAAGATTTATATTTAATACTTATAGAAATATAACTAATTCTTAAAAAGTATTAAAAGATTATTTTAAAATTCGATATTTTAGATATATAAAGATTAATTATTTTAAATTAAATATCTTATAAATATTAATAAATTTTAAGAGAGTAATAGCTATAGAGAATTATATATAGAAGTCCTTAAACGATTTCTTCTTATCTATTACTTCTATATTAAATTTAAAATTAAATATCTTAATATTTAATTTAATAATCTTATTATATATTTCGAATATATTATCTAATTTATTAATTATTTCTTAAATAATTTAATATAAATCTAAGATATCTTTATTTACTCTTATTTTAATAATATTATATATAGTAAACTTATAATAATCTTATATATAATCGATTTTTTTAAGTTTAATAAAGAAGATTATAGCGCTTTATTTAAATTTCGCTTTAAGATATTAATATTAGCTATTTTACTTATTTTAATTATTAATATTATAAAAATTCGAAACGTCGAGATATTATTTATTTAATTCTATATTCTCTACGCGATTCGTAATAGAGATATAATATAAATTTCGATAAATACTATTAATAAGAATACTCGATTAATAAGATATAATCTTTATATTCTTTTTATCGAAGTTTTTTAAATTAGCTAATATATAAGATTATTACTTCTTTAACTATTACTCTTTATATCTTAAGTCTTACTTAAGTTTTTTATTTTCTTTAATAAGTTTTATAATATTAATACGATATCTATTATGTAAATCTCGAAGTCTATTATTAATTTCTCGCTTATAAAATAATTAATTATTATTATTACTTAGCTAGATAATAATTATTAATATCTTTATCTTAGCTTAAGCGATATTATAATTAAATTCTTTATTTTATTATTAAAATATCTTAATATTACGATTAGTAGTTTAAAAGCTTTCTATTAATATTTTTAATTTATTATATTAAATATTAGAAGTTTTAATAGCGCTTTTTATAAAATTCTATAAGTTAATAATAAAGATAAAGATTATAATTAACTCTTCTTTAATAATATTTATAAATTATATTTCGATATAATTTAAATTAGATTTAATAATATATCTTCTAGAGATAAAACGCTTTCTCTTATATTATATAAATAATATAATAATATTTAAAATCTTCTTATTGAAGTTCTTAAGTTTTTCTAAATAATAATATATTTATAACTTATCTATAATGATTTAACTTTAAATATTATCTAAATTTAAAATTAAGAGATTTATAGCTAATATTAAGTTAATAAAAGTATAAAAGAAATTTAATTTAAAGTCTATTTCTTTTAATATATTAAAGATATTTATTTTCTTTAGATTCTTATTTAATCTAGTTAGATTAGCCTTTATATAAATAAAAGACTTTCTTTTAAATAATCTTTTAAGTAGTAAGCTTCTTTAGCTATAGCTATTAACTTCTTAATAATATACTTTCTTCTTAACTATATATTTAATATAATTAATAAATAAATCGCTATCGCTTTAGAAGAAAGATAGATAATATTATATTAAGAACTTAATAGTATATATAATAACTCTATATTATAGTATAAAGAGAATACTATCTATATAGAATTATTATAAATATAAACTTTATAGTAAGATAGAAAGATCGAAAGGTCTTAATACGCTAAGTTTAATTAGGTTATAATATAAGTAAGTAAGATTATAAATTATTAAAATTTATATAATTAAAAAATTAATTAAAATTATAAAAAATTATTAATAATTACTTAATAATATATAATATAAATTATTAAGATACATTTAACTAATTATTAAGATAATAAAAATAAAAAAAATATATTAAAATAGAATTAATAAAATTAATAAAATAAAAAAGAAAAATAAAAATAAATAAATAAAAGAATATTATTAATTAAACGCGTTTAATATAATTATAATATTGCTAAATATTAATTTAAGTTACTTATTTCTAACTTAAAAGAAGTATATAAAAAAGAATAATATCTATAACTTAAGCTCTTTTAAAGAATCTTCTAGAATATTTATAAGTAATAGTAGATAGCTATTAAACTCGCTTATAACCTCAATTATTAGTAATAATGAATTTATTAAGAAATAATTTAAGAGTATTAATAAGGACTTTAAGAGATAGATAAAGAGATATATATATCTTAAAGCGTTTAGATAGTCGCTTAAAATAAGATAATTAAGAAAATTAAAAAAAGATATATCTTAAAAGATAGTATCGCTAAGTTAAATTACTATTACCTCGAGCTTAAGGGGGTATAGAGAAGAACGATAACTATAAAAAAATATATTTTTAAACTCTTTTTAAGAGTTTTTTAACGCGTTTATAAGTAGTAGTAAATAGCTATTAAGCTCGCTTATAGTCTCGATTATTAATAGTAATAGAATTTATTAAAAGATAGTCTAAGAGCGTTAATAGAGACTTTAAGAGATAAAGAAAATAAATATATATATCTAAAGCGTTTAATAACGTTTTCGCGAGAAATATCGAAAATAAATATATTTATATTAGTAAATTAATAGAATAGTAAAAGAAGAATAGTTATATAAATAAATAAAAGTATTATTCGATTTCGAACGCGTATAATATAACTATAAGATTTAAATATTAATTTAATTTATTAATAATAGATTAAACTTTAGTATTTTTATATCGTTAGAAAGCGTATATTAAACTCTATAATTTATTAAATATAAAGTAACTATATATATAGTAAACTAAGTACTTTTAGAGTATAAAACTTCTATATATAAATTTTTAATAAGAGAGATGTAAAAGAGCTATCGAGCTAACTTAGTCGGTCTAATTAAAAAGAGTAGCGAACTCAAATTTATAATTAACTATATATATAAATTTATAATTTTTAAGCTTAGCTCTATCTTATTCTATTATATATATTAATTAATATATATAAAAGAATAAGATAGAGTTAAGTTTAAAAATCTTAAATTTATATAAATAGCTAATTATAAATTTAAGATTATTACGTTTTTTAATTAGACTAATTAAATTAACTAGCTAGTCCTTTTATAGCTTTCTTATTAAAAATTTATATATAAAAATTTTATACTTTAAAATAACTAGTTTTCTATAAATACTATTTCTTTTATAATTTTATAAATTATAAAACTTAATATATATTTTCTAACGCTATAAAAATAATAAAGTTTAATTTACTATTAATAGATTAAATAGTTATTTAAATATAATAGTTATAATAGTTATATTAAACGTATTTTAAATTAAATAATAATTCTTTTATTTATTTATATAATTATATTTTTTTATAATTCTATTAATTTATTAATTATAAATAAATTCGCTCTTAATATCTCTTACTTAATATATTACTAAGTATTTAAAATATATATTTTTTTTACTTATTTTTTAAATTTCTTATTAATATCTTTAAATTATTTTTTAATAAATTTATTACTATTAATAATTAAGACTATAAATAAATTTAATAGCTATTTACTACTACTTATAAATATATTAAAAAATTCTTAAAAAAGCTTAAATAATTTTTTTTTTTATATATTCTTTCTAAGCTAGTAATAAATAAATTAAATTAATATTTAAATATTATAATTATATTAAATATATTCGATTTAAATATATATTTCTTTTATTTATCTTTTAAATTCTCTATTAATATCTTTAAATTATCTTTTAATAAATTTATTATTACTAGTAATCGAGGTCATAAGCGAGCTTAATAGCTATTTATTACTATTTATAAACGTATTAAAAAACTCTTAAAAAAAGCTTAAATAATTTTTTTTATATATTTCTCTTAAGCTAGCGATAGATAAATTAAATTAATATTTAAATATTATAATTATACATCAAAAATTTGTATGTAGAAGTTTTACACTCTGAAATAACCAGCTTGCGACAGATGCTATTACTTCATAATTTCGTAAATTGTAGAGCTCGCTTTACGCTTTCTAACGCTGTAAAAATAATGAAGTTTAGCCTACTATTGGTGGATTAAAGTAGACATTCAAATATGGTAGTTACACGAAACGCGTCCGGGATCGAATAATAATCCTTCCACCTGTTTATATAACCATTCTTCTTCCACTATTCTACCAATTCTACCAATTCCACCAATATGAATACAATCGTCCTCGGTACCCCTCGCCCAAAGGTTACTCAACGTCTAAGGCACATACACCCCTTTTGCCCGCCTCTTAGAGCCCCTACTGACGCCCCCAGGCCACCCCTCGGCGAATCCGCTACTGCTGGCAATCGAGGCCGCAAGCGAGCCCAACAGCTACCTACTACTGGCCATAAACGCGCTGAAAGGCTCTTTAAAAGAGCCCGAACGGATACGTCCTCCCCTACAGATTCCTCCCAAGCCAGCGGTGGTGCCTTCCAACCCAGCGATGCTACCTCCCAAGACGCGTCTTCCTCCCCTATCCGTTCTTCATCACCCTATTTTAAAGCCTCTCAACGCGTGTTAGATCCTAAACATCGTCAAGAAGAAGCTCCTAAACGAGAGGAAGATACTATCGAAGACCCTCTATTACGAGACCTACCACCAGACTTCTTTAACAACGACTCTTTCGACAGCCCACGACCTTCCAACCCACCTTCCAGCCCTTATTTGGGTCCTACTCAGCCTCCAGCAAGGCTCGCCAGCTACACCGCGCGTCACCCATATACCACAGAGCCTACACGGCATAATTTAAGTCCCATAAACCAGATTTGCGACAGCTACGGCGCGGCGTCATAAAAAGATAAAACCGCCGGGTGGTGCTACAACAGCGGAAAGACTAAAGTCGATACACCTAAAACAGACATCGATCAAGAAGTAAACGATATAGAACAGGGCCATAAGAACGTCGAAACGAGTACAAATAATCCGATCAACCTCAGCGAGCATGCCATTAATCAAATCCTCCATTCTTTAACGCCAAGGACCTTAAATTTCACTAATAATTACAAAGAATTCCGCCGCTACAGCGTTTAGTATAATAATACAACCTCTATAGCCTTACAGCAGATTACTATCAATCATTCAATCGCCCCCTACACGTGTAAAATCCAGAGAGCGATTACTACTTATATACCTACCCTAGCGCCTCCAGAGAGCGAAAAATCGGTCTTTAGTCAAATCTATATTATAAATAGTATTTAAGATTAGTCCATAACACGGTATAACTTCCTCTCGATCGCGTTTCTCGTACTGACTTTGCTAGGCATGGCTACTATGAACGTACCAATCAGACGCTTCACCGCAAAATAGCTGCAATCCTCAGAAGCATCAATCCGTACATCACTGCCCTCAAATCGATGTCCGAAAAGCTGGAGGCCGATCCAGGTGTACGGGGCTATAAGCTACTTCATGAGAACCCACGGCACCATGATCCGCGCACCTACAATCGTCCTACTTCAGATGAGGTCGCTATCGCTTGGGAGGGTGATGTGGATAACCCACTGGGCCTACCTGAGGCTAAGGATGTCTTGGTAGAGGCTCGAAGTGGTGAGAGATTCAGTGTTCCATATTGGCATCCAGCCTATATGCCCTTACGCTATCCCATTATCTTCCCATTCGGCGAACAGTCATGGCATAACAATATACCCAATGCAGGCGTTGCACTGGGTGGGAGCCTCCTTGCCTACCGACGCAGCAATGATGAAATCGCCCCACGAGTCAGTGGGTAGTGGAACGAACTACCGGCCGAGGTAGCTCTATACGAGTAACGCTTATCTCATATTATAGATCTATTCCATTTATTCCTTCTATTCTATCGGTCGCTGACTTCCCATAGATATATAATGCAGATCCGTCCTGGCAAGTTCAACCGCCTCCTCCACTGCGGTAGACTGCTACAGCATTTCGTCTGCGATGCTTATGTGACTGTCGAAAGTAATAAACTCTATTGGCTAAAGGTGAATCAGAAGACCATTCGGGCCGATACCTATCAAGCAGTCGTCGATACTTACGTCGATAAAGCCACCACAGGCGATCAGGCTGGTAAATAACGCATCATCCTCCCTTCCTCCTATTAAGAAAGCCTACGGTTTATAAAACAACTCTATTAGGATATTATTACCCTGTCCACCAAGTTCGGCCGGCCGGACCTCTTTACGACTTTCACCTGCAACCCAAAATAGACCGAGATTATTAAAAACCTCCTACCCGGCGAACGCGCCACTGATCGACCTGATCTGATTGCTAGGGTATTTAGACTAAAGCTGAAGGCCCTTATAAACGATATTCTAAAGGGGAAGGTGCTAGGTATACTCTTATTCTTCTTACCCCCTATTATAGTATAGTAGCCCTCCCCTATCCCATCCAATAGGGTAGCTCCTTAGGCGGTACATCAGTTAGGCGGTCAGTGCAGGTTATAGTCCCTGGGGGTACTTCTGGCACGGTTCAGCCTATTATACGCCGTAATTCCTGCCGGTTAGCCCTGCGGTACCGTTTATTTTTTTTTTCACCCTCATAAGGGCGAAGCACGGCCGGTTGAAATGTCGATTAGCCCTAACCCTAACTGACTTTGCGGGCAACAGGTCGAGTTCCGGCCTATGCCTACACCATTAAATTTTAAAAACGAGGCCTACCGCATGCCCACATCCTTATCATTTTACACTCTAAAGACCGATTCTTTAGCGCCGCTGAGGTAGACGTCGCTGTCAGTGCTGAGATCCCTAATCAGAGTCTGTTTCCCAATCTCTATGCGACCGTCACCAGGTGCATGCTTCATGGGAACTGCAGCCAGTATGCTACCAGCAGAACAGGTACTGTCCCACCTTGCTGGGACTCAGATAAGGACGCATGCAGCAAGCGGTTTCCGAAGAACTTCAGCGACCATACCGTCTTTAAATCAGACTTCGAGTACCCCATATACCGTCGACGTAAACCTATTAAAATACCAGACGATAAATCCAAGCAGAATTGCTGGGTGGTACCCTACAGTCCCTATTTGTCGGCCAAGTATGACGCTCACATCAATGTAGAGATTTGCGCCAACGTTAAAGCCTACAAATATATCTTTAAGTATATTTATAAGGGCAGCGACCGGGCTAGTCTTCGGATAGAGCGTGAGGGCGATGCAGATCAGGACGATGTAGGGCCAGACCAGGTGGACGAGATTCAAGAGTATCAAGACGCACGGTGAGTGGGCTCTGCGGAAGCCTATTGGAGGATTTTTAGCTTTAAATTACATAATCACAATCCTCCTATCGAACGGTTGTCCATCCACCTCCCAAATCAACACGGCGTGACATTTGATGACGATGATGACCTATCCCATATAATCGATATAGAATATAAACGCCAGATTAAGCTAACAGCCTTCTTCCAACTAAATTAACGGCGTCGGCAGGGAAGACGAGTAGAAGACCTCTTCTATACCGATCTACCGGTGCAATATATCTAAAAAAAGAATAAGCGAGGCATATTCGAATGAAGTCCACGTCAGAAGCGCAGGGGTACTATTGAAAGGATGTACTATATTAATCCGAACGCTAGAGAGCTCTTCTACCTACGGTATCTCCTCCTAAACGTATCGAACCCTATATCCTTCGAAGACTTACGCACGATAAACGGTAATATCCTTCCTTCCTACCATAGTACCTATATAGTAAGAGGCTTACTTCACGATAACGTCGAATGGAATTAAGTATTAAATGAAGTAGCGGCCTAATAGGGAGGATACGCCTTACGGGGTCTCTTCGTGATGATTCTACTGTAATGTAAGCTTGGTAACCCTCTAGATCTATAAAATAATCATAAATTGAGGTATATAAGCAATTCCTTCTTTGCCGGGTAGAAATACTTTAAGCGTAGTATAAATAGCTTACCGCGCTAACGGTGGTATTGAAATATTACAACTTTTTTTAGTGTGGTGTTTCTTTTTTTATACACCAAAACTTTTCGCGCTAGGTGTATTTTTCCTTGGTAATTTCTTTAATGAGTTGAAGTGCTTTAAGCTGTAGAATAAGAAGATTACCGCGCTAACGGTGGTTTTGAAACATCGCGACTTTTTTTGGTGTGGTGTTCTTTTTTTAGCCATTAAAACTTTTCGCGCTAGACGTATTTTTCCTTTTTTTACCCGCAAATAATTTAATTCTCCTCCCGCACTTTGCGTACATTTCTTAACTAACACTTATTATTCTTTATTTAGATTATCTAATAACCTTATTCATATCCTTCAGACTTAGTATTATACTCTTCCTCTATCAGACGATACGCAATATAAACAAGCCGTCGTCGAAGACTTCTACCTTCATTTAATTCAAATCCGCTTAAAGAAAAACAACACCAGCTCTATAAAGGATATCAGCCTCACTACCGGCTTTAATCTACCCGCGATCCAGCGAGACTACGAATAATATCATATTAACGATCGAAATCGACTCCTACGCGAAGCACGTAGCTATCAAACTAATACCTAAGATCAAATATAGACGAGTTTTAATAATAATCAAATCACTACAGCTAACGCTATTTAGAACGCGGTCTCTCATTCCAATAACTAACTCTTCTTCCTTAATAACTATAAAAGTACCGACAAGACCATACTTCAGAACACCGTATTGCGAAGAGTACGAAATAACTCTAAGGTAGCTATTACTATAACTTCATCTAGCATCGCCTCCATCCTCCTTCAAAATAGTACTACCGCTTATTCTCGCTTTAAGATCCCCCTTAATGCTATTGCTTAATTCAATTACGATATATCGATAAGATCTAATTTAGCTCAATTATTGGAGGCGACCGAGCTTATTTTCTAGGACGAGGTCTCTATATAAAACCGCTACGATATCGAGGCCGTCAATCGTATATTCCAAGACATTCGAAAGAACCCCACTCCTTTTGGTGGCATAGTCACATGCTTCTGCGGTGACTTTCGTCAAATCCTTCCAATCATTAAGGATACTAAGTTAGGTCACATCGCTCGGGCTACGTTGAAGGCGTCCTACCTTTGGAACCACATTCAAATCCTCAGGCTGACAGAAAACATGAGGCTCCGGAACCCCAATCTAACTGATCAAGGCCGGACTAACATGGAGGAATTCGCTCGGACGCTATTAGATGTGGGCAATGGTACCTCAACAAGCTTCGGAGGACGAGAAGCTATCGATTAGTCTACCGGGTAACTATCAGACGACTCTATCACTTAGCTGATTAATACTATTTATAGTAACCTTAGCCTATATCGAATAGCTAATTTCTATACATCCAGGGCGATCCTTTACACCCTTAACAAGAATATCGCCCGGTTCAACAGTTAAGTCCTTGATAAGTTCCCTGGGGCCAAGACCGTTTGCAAAAGTAGGGATCAAGTCGTCAATGAGGAAGATAGCTTCCTCCTACTTACTAAAATAATAAATACCTTCAAACCGGCCTCGCTTTCACTCTATCACTTAAAGTTAAAACAGGATTATATAATAATGCTGCTAAGGAATTTAAAGCAGCGTATGAGTCTATGCAATGGGACACGTCTACAAGTCAAGCATATTAGATCTAAGACACTCAATTACCGTATCCTTAGAGGCGAACATAACGATAAACAACACTACATACCACGCATCCCTCTAGCTCCGCCTAATTCGAACGATCTACATGCTCCCTTTCGACGCATCCAATTCCCAATCCGATTAGCCTTCAGCATGACGATTAACAAGGCCCAGAGCCAATCATTACAGCAAATCGGCCTATACCTATACCCCGAGGTCTTTACCCATAATCAACTATATATAACCCTAAACCGAGTTACCAGC